AGATAGACTGGGGTTGGAGGAGATTTCATAAAGCAATGATAAAGAGCTGAGACCTGATGGCCTCTCTAGGATCAAATACCTGAGGCCAAAACGCAACAGTAAGTGGCTGGAAACAATGAGCAGCCCCTAGCACACCTCTAAGTGTCATAGCCAGACTCCAGAGCCACGTCTTGTGAAATCCCAGTGCAAATAGGGAACTACTAACTGAAACAGTGAGATGCCGTTTCCAAGAGAATGGCAAATATAAAACTCCGAAAATATTAAGTATCAGTAAAGAAGTGGGGAAGGGGGCTGCTCCCCTACATCCCTGATGTGTGTGAGTTAACATTTCTGAGAGCAACCGGAAGTAGCTTTTATATTTGGAATGTGCATACCTTGTGACCCTTGAACTTCCAACTCCACCCTCAAGTCTGACCCTGGAGCAATGGTTCTCAAAGTGTGGTCTGGAACCTGAGAATCTTTCAAGAAGATTGTGATGTTAAGCCTGCTTTCACAATCAGCTTTATTTGCCTTCTTACTCTCATTCTTTTATGAGTTTAGATAGTGAGTTTCCAGAGGCTACGGACATGGGATATTGCCACATAATGAATGAAAAGCAGATGTGAGAATGCAGTGGTCTTCCATTAAGCTAGACATTAAGGAGATTTGGCAAAAATGGAAAACGCTACTCTTCTTATAAGATTTTTGTTTTTGAAGTTTTTTAAATGAAAATATATATGTTTCACACATATGTGAAAAAAATAACACATTTTAATGAAAATATATGACAATATGACATATAATGGGCTTCTTATTAAGTTCATGTTTTCGCAATTTGTTTTAACTTTTAACATGCTAAATACTGACAGACACAACCCACAAACAAAAGTTCTTTGAAATCTTCAATAAGACTTAAGAGTGTGAAATGTCATGAGACCAAAAAGTTTGAGAACCACTAACCACTGATCTAGAGAAACACATTTTGCATGAGGAAGCACATCCAAGGATGTTCACTGAGCCACTGTGTATAGTAGGAAAATGCAGAATGAACTTCCATGTCCCTTAACAGAATGGTTAAATGAACTGGGGTGTAGTCAGACTATGGAAAATGATGCCACATCTAAAAAGAGTGAGGCAGATACATCTACGTGCACCAACGTGAAAATATCTCCAGGACACACTGCAGATAAGTGAGCAAATTGCACACTATTAATACGTGGCATAACATTTTCTTAAAGATTTAATAATAACGGCAGCGCCTGGGTGGCTTAGTCGGTTAAGCATCTGACTTCAGCTCAGGTCACGATCTCATGGTCCATGAGTTCGAGTCCCCCATCAGACTCTGTGCTGACAGCTCGAAGCCTGGAGCCTGCTTCAGATTCTATGTCTCCCTCTCTCTTCTCTGCCCCTCCCTCCCTCACTCTCTCTCAAAAAAACTTTAAAAATTTAATAATAATGAAATGCAAATAAAATCATGTTTTTTCCACGGGAACACAGAGCAGCATAAAACACTAACAGTACGCAGTAACGGTAGTTAGTTACCTCTGGGGAGTGAGCAAGGGCAGGGCTTTAATTTTCTCTTACTGTCTGAACTTTAACATAGACACACACAAACACACATACTTACAGACATGTGGCAAATTCGAATGACATATCTGGGAAACTCCCTCCACTATCCTATCAGCAGCAGGTGGTGAGACCTACTGCTACTGGGGCAGGGAGCATCTCAGGACAGCCTCATGCCCACAGCCTGTCTCATCAGCTGAAGCCCGAGGTCATGTACAGCTTATTCATACTTCCTCCTGGAATATTCACCACTTTCCAAACCAACTTGGAAATCGTAATTCTTCTCAAAGCCCATTCATAATCTGTTTCAACTTCCTGTCATCCCAAAGACAGAGGAATAGCAGTGATCAAAATATGGAAAGTAACCTTGATGACACCCCAAAATGTAGCAATAGACTGGTTCTTGCAACTATCAAAACAAAATGTCCAATAGTTGAGATAACCTGACAAGTTCCCAATAAGGACCAGCTGATAATGATCCTCTTCCTGTAATCCAATAACATTTTAAATATTTAATACGGTGTGAAGAATTTTTCTCCTAAAGATGCAACGATCTGCCCTAGGCAAGTCCGTTGCTTCAACTGCTGAGCTTTGCACTGGTTTCTTAGCTCATGATTCTAATATTCCATGATTGCAGTTACTTAATTGACACACGTATCTCCTTGCACCTAGAAACAAGCCAGTACGAAAGCAATAACAGAAAGGTCTGGTGTTTTACAAGAATAGACCAGAGGGACGATACACATAGCCCGAAAACAGGCTCACTTACGTAAGAGTTTGTAGTAAGAAAACCACCATAGATTAATGAGTAAAGAATAGGTTCCTCAATAAATGACATGGGGGAATAAATGGGGGAATTAGCTACAGTCTTGACTTCCACCATCAAAAGAACAAAACAGACTGAAGGGGTAACGGTTAATAAATAAGATCACTGAAGATAATGAAGAAAAAGGAGATGGTTATTTAAGTGCTGTAAGGAGGAGCTATATCAATCTCATCATAACAGAATTAAAGAAATTTAAAAAATGGGCAGTTTGACAACTTAAAACAACTGCTGCTCATCAAAATGAACCACAGCCACAATTCAAAGGTCACAGACAACTGAAAGGAAGATACCTGCAATAAAAGAGAGCCAAAAAATATCTGAAACTATGTTACCCATAGAGTTCATAAAATCCATTGAGACCTCAACATCCTGGGGCACCTGCGTGGCTCCTTCAGTTAAATGTCTGACTCTTGATTTCGGCTCAGGTCATGATGTCACAGTTTGCAGGATTGAGCCCCGAGTCAGGCTCTGCACTGAGCCTGCTTGGGATCCTCTGTCTCCCTCTCTACACCTCCTTTGCTCCAGCATGCACATGCGCTCTCTCTCTCAAAATAAATAAATCTCAAAAAAATTAAAAAAAAAAAAAAAAGAAGAAGAAACCAACATCCCCTTTGAAAGATAAGCAAAAGACAAGAACGAGTCACAGAACTATATAAATGGTAAAAACACCTATGGAAAAATGTTCAACATAGTAATTGAATAAATGTGACCTAAAACAATGGTGTACTTTTATCCGTCTACTAAACTGCCAGGGACCATCGCTACATGCTGCTGGCGGCGATGAGGAGGGTACTCTCCTCACTGCTGGTGGAAGCGGCAGGGACCATCCTTCCGGAGGGCAAGCTGCCATGCCAACCAGTCCTGAAACTGTCTGCACACACTTTGGCCTCATAATGAGACATACATACACAATTTGTTGAAATACTGAAATCTTTATAGTGAAGAGGTTTGTGTTCAGGTGTATTCTGCACAATGCCATTTATATCAGCAAAAATGTTGTGCAAGGGTTAAATTTTGATATTCCTATTCAACGTCCAGTTTTGCAGCCACCAAACATCAAGTTTAAGAATATGGCAAAATGGGGCACCTGGGTGGCTCAGGTGGTTAAGTGTCTAGCTCTTTATTTTTTTTTTAATTTTTTTTTCAACGTTTTTAATTTATTTTTGGGACAGAGAGAGACAGAGCATGAACGGGGGAGGGGCAGAGAGAGAGGGAGACACAGAATCGGAAACAGGCTCCGAGCCATCAGCCCAGAGCCTGACGCGGGGCTCGAACTCACGGACCGCGAGATCGTGACCTGGCTGAAGTCGGACGCTTAACCGACTGCGCCACCCAGGCGCCCCAAGTGTCTAGCTCTATAACTCCGGCTCAGGTCTTGATCTCACAGTTCATGGATTTGAGCCCCGTCTTGGGCTCTGTGCTGACAGCGCAGAGCCTGCTTGGGATTCTCTCTCTCCCTCTCGCTGCCCCTCCCATGCTTAAGTGTTCGGTCTCTCTCAAAATAAATAAACTTAAAAAAAAAAAAAAAGAATATGGCAAAAGTGCTCTGAATTAGTGTTTGATTGGTTTTTTTTTTAAGTAGAAGCTGTCAGCTATGTATATATAAAAAGCCAAGGCATAAAATACACCAAGATGTAACAGTGGCTAACACTGGTGGTAGAATTACTACCAGTTTCTCTTCTGCATTTCCTGTATTTTCTACAATAAGCCCCATCTTTACAATCAGACACACACACACATATAAAGGAATACGAGCTTTAGAGAGGATGAATAAAAAATACATAAGAATGAAAACCCCTTTCCCAACACGCTCCTTGTATCCCACACAGAGCCAGGCTTGCCTCGGTAGCACATGGGTTCTCTGTAGGTCCCTCCTCCCCCACCCCTGGCCACCTATGTCCCCACGCTGCCCTCCTCACTCAGCCAGGGCCCAGTGGGCATGGGCCTCAAACTGCCTACCCTTCTCCACTCTGGACCAAACTCACTGCCTCAGTTAGGGGTTTGAGACAAAAGCAATCCAAGGGAGCAATCTGCAGCGGAAAGGTGGTGTTTGCATGGTTTTTAAAAAGGATGCTGCCGATCCAAACTTGGAATCTGCCAAAGGTCCAAGATGTATTTTCAGTTTTTGCTAGGGATGGGAGTTCCATCTATTTCGAAAGAATAGACTTCCCCCACCTCAAGTTTCATTTTCTTTCCTTCCTTTTTCTTCTTGGGGTAGGAATGGGGAGACACAGAAAGGGAGCAGTAAATAATCAAATACGGATCTAATTTACTGGGACTCTTCAAGTCAGGAAACATTGTGCACTGAAACAGAAACAGAAAGAAGGCCTTCCCACCAAAAGCAGATGAGGGTTCCTTTTTCTCTGCATCCTCGCCAACTTGTCATTTCTTGTTTTTGTTTTTATTTTTTTTATTTTAGCCATTCTGACTGGTGTGAGGTGCTCATTGTAGTTTTGATTTGCATTTCCCTGATAAGTGATGTTGGGCATCTTTTCATGTGTCTGTTGGCTGTCTGTATGTCTTTCTTTGGAAAATTTTCATGTCTTCTATTTTTTTTTTTTAATTTTTTTTCAACGTTTTTTATTTTATTTTTGGGACAGAGAGAAACAGAGCATGAACGGGGGAGGGGCAGAGAGAGAGGGAGACACAGCATCGGAAACAGGCTCCAGGCTCCGAGCCATCAGCCCAGAGCCTGACGCAGGGCTCAAACTCACGGACCGCGAGATCGTGACCTGGCTGAAGTCAGACGCTTAACCGACTGCGCCACCCAGGCGCCCCATCATGTCTTCTATTTTTAATCAGACTGGTCTTTTTGTTTTGTTTTGGTGTTGAGTTGTATGAGTTCTTTATGTATGTTTGGTAGTATAACCCTTTATTGGATATATCATTTGCAACCATCTTCTCCAACTCAGTAGGTTGCCTTTGGTTTTGTTGGTGGTTTCCTTGGCTGTGCAGAAGCTTTTTACTCTGATGTAATCCCAACAGTTGATTTTTGCTTTCATTTCCCTTGCCTTAGGAGGCCTGTCTAGAAAAATGTTGCTATGGCTGACGTCAAAAAAATCACTACTTATGTTCTCTTCAAGGTTTTTTATGGCTTCAGGTCTCACATTTAGGTCTTTAATCCAATTTGAGCTTATTTTTGTGTATGGTATGAGAAAGTGGGCCAGTTTCATTCTTTTGCATGTAGCTGTCCAGTTCTCCCAGCATCATTTATTGAAGACACTGTCCTTTTCCCACTGTAAAAATTGATATAGCCACTGTGGAAAACACTAGGAGGCTCTTCAAAACACCAAAAATAGAATTACCATATGATTCACTAATTCCACTACTGGGTATTTACCCAAAGAAAACAAAAACACTAATTTGAAAAGATAAAGGCACCCTATGTTTATCACAGCATGATTTATAATAGCTAAAATATGGAAGCAACCTAAGTATACATTAATAGATGAATGTATAAAAATGTACACACACACACACACACACACACACACACACACACAAAGAATATTATGCAGCCACAAAAAAGGATGAGATCTTGCCATTTATGACAATCCATAGATGGAACTAGAGGGTATTATGCCAAGTGAAATAAGTTGGACCGAGAAAGACAAATACCATATGATTTCACTCAGGTGCAGAATCTAATAAACAAAACGAATGAATAAGTGAAAACAAATACATGAAAAGCAGAACCATGCCTACAAATATGTAAAACAAACTGATGGTTGCCAGAGAGAAGGGGGCATGGGGGGACTGGCCAAATTGGTGAAGGGGAGTGGGAGATAGGGGTACCACTTATGGAATGAGTAAGTCATGGGAAGAGAAGGCACAGCATATGCAATATAGCCAACAATACTGTGACAGCACTGTATGGTGACAGACGGGAGTTACACTTGAGATGAGCATAACGTAACACATAGAGATGTTGAATCACTAGCTTGTACACCTGAAACTGATGTAATATTGTGTATCAACTATACTCAAAAGATAAATAAATAAATAAATAAGAATAAAACAGAACAAATGCTGCCTGGGCAACTTCTAGTTGTTTTAAAAACCAATCTCATCATTACTAAATGTTTGCTTTTCATCTCTCAGTTCAATTCCTTGCTCTATTATTGTTATTCTAGTCAGTTCCAATGATAATATACAGAGTTTTCAAATATTTTTATGATAATTTTTTAACACTGACTCTTCCAAGATACATAAAATTCCATTTTTACAGAGATTCAATCCTTCTGACATCCCTGCTCATTCTATTCCTTCACACACTCTGTTAAACGCCTGCTATGTATCAAGTTTTATGTTCGAGGCTATGGATGGAGCAGTCAACCAGAGAGGACAGGTGGTTCCTGCCCTCAGTGAACTTACAGTCTTAGGGGGAGACAGTATTTAACAAATACTTACACAAATTACCTAACTGTAACTTGTGGTTAAGTGCTAGGAAGGAAACTTATAGATGCTGTGAGAACACATCAGGAAGTCCACTGACTATTATGATTTTACTCCTGAAACAGGCTATTTCTTTCTTAAAGCTGGAAGCACATCAAAACGCCTCTTCCAATCCTCTGATAGAGTCACATTTAGAGGGAGGTAGTGGTGGAGGCTCTTGTGTGTTTTGTACTTACTTGCAGTAAGAACACAGGAATGCACAACTATCCTGGAAAATGATTTCACCCTGGAAATTGATACTGGTTTCTTCTTTCAATGTAGAGAGGAGGGGAGTATTTACAAAGACTTATGTACAAACAAACTTTGTGTTTAATTAATAGAAGAAATTTTGGGGCAGCTGGGTGGCTCAGTTGATTGAGCATCTGACTTCGGCTCAGGTCATGATCTCACCGTCTGTGAGTTCAAGCCCCACGTCAGGCTCTGTGCTGACAGCTCAGAGCCTGGAGCCTGTTTCAGATTCTGTGTCTCCCTCTCTCCCCCCACCTCCCCACCCCCCGCTCATGTTCTGTCTCTCTCTCTGTCAAAAACAAATAAACATAAAAAAATTTAATAGAAGAAATTTTGAAAGAACCTAGATGTGCATCATTCAGAGAGTGCTCAGATGAATTATGATAAGGATATACTATGTTCCGTAAGAACATGGATGGAGGTAAAGACAAATACCCTATGATTTCATTCATATGTAGAAGTTAAGAAATAAAGAAAAGAGACAAATAGACTTTTTAAAAAAATGTTTATTTATTTATTTTGAGAGAGAGTGCTTGCACAAGCAGGGGTGGGTTAGAGAGAAGAGAATCCCAACCAGGCTCCATGCTGTCAGCACGGAGCAGGATACAGGACTTGATCCCATAAACCATGAGATCATGACCTGAGCTGAAATCAAGAGCCAGATGCTTAACCAACTGAGCCACCTGGGTACCCCAAAGTACACTCTTAAACACAGACAACAAACTGATGGTTTCAAGAGGGGGAAATGGGTGAAACAGGTAAAGAGGAAAAGGGGACACTTGTCATGATGACCACTGAGTAACATATGGAAGAGTTGAGTAATTACAGTGTATACCTGAGACTAATATTAACACTGTAAGTTAACTACACTTGAGTTAAAGACTAATAGTAAGGCAATGCCTATGTACTAACATGGAATGCTCTCCAAAACATACTATGTGGGGAAAAGCAAACCACTACATATGACTCAATTTGTTTCTAAAAGAATGCGTACACCTGTTGCACTAATGAGAGAAAGCGCTTCACAGCTATACCAGGTGTCCGTGGCGATTACCTCCGGCACATGATGGAGGAGGTTTACGCATTATTTACCATGAGAATGTATTTAGGTACTATTCGTACAATAAAAATACAACAGTTAAGA